AAGAACCCGCAAACGTCGAGATTTCAGTGTCCTCGTGATCATCTGCAGCAGCCGCAGATGCCGCTTCAAGTCTGTGCAGGTAATCTCCAGCGGCCCCATATGACTGAAATCCCGCGGAAAGAGAGTCCTGTGGCACATGGCCACCATAATGATAGGATTGGTATTGGGATGCCAATGAATCTGTCGCGGCGCGTTTAGTTACTGACGACGAGAACCTGCTACTAATTAATCAAAGACATACCTTCTGCTACGCCCTCTCTCCGGAAACCAAAAATATACGGATGAACCTGCCCAAGACCTTGAAGGACCAGAATGAACTCAAATATGTGACGCTGTTCTCCCCATGAACCGCAATGGTGTCACAAGGATATAAGGATTCACAAGGGTGCATATTAACGCTCCAACTACGACATAAGGATGTCTGATTGCTGTAGAGCGTGTTATCAGGCTTATCAATGATGTCGTGAGCAAGGTGCGAATAACGTACTCCAGTTGTTGACTTCTGTCAGGGCATAACAAAGAGGCGAGAACAGCGTCCACGATTTTGACCAGTCGATTTTGTCAGGACTAGATGTTGCTGGGACATGGCTTGTGTGTTCAAGGTCAAGAATCCAGACAGGTCTGTTTATACAGCAGTGCATGATAGACACCGCGCACGCACTGTGCAGCATGATCCATAATTAGCGTGGAACGTTTGAATGTTCTGACGGCGAGCAAGGAAACACGCTTCGGCATCGTGTAGATGTGTAAGCATCAACATGATACACAAACGTGGAGAACACATTGGATGAAGCGCCTGCCAGTCACTTACCAGAAAGCTCCAAACACGATAGCCACCAGACAACAACCCAAGCAATTCCAATTCCTCCATCAATCTCGTCTATACAGGGGATCTTCAGTGGCCCCATATGACTGGAATCTCGCAAATGCAGAGTCTCGTGACATACAGCCATGTGATAGGACTGGTATCGGTACCCAAATGAATCTGTTGCGGCGCGTTTAGTCAAGTGATGCGACGCCTGAAGCTAGTTGATTGAGGATGTACCTTTTACTACGCCTCCTCTCTTGAAACAGGATAAACCTGCCCAAGACCTTGAATAGCCAAGAGATCCAAGGCTTGACTCAAATATGTAACGTGCTGTTCTCCCGTGAACTGCAATGGCGTCATAAGGAAATAAGAGAGACATATGAAAACTCCTGCCGGATAAATGTATGTCTGAGTGCTGAAGAGCGTGTTATCAAGCTTATTAACAACGTAAGAAAATAACCCACTTATTGACTTCTGTCAGAGCAGAACTTAACGAGGCGAGAAGGGCGCCGAGCAATTTGGGCCAGTCAATGTTGGGCAGGTCTGGATCTTGCTGTTGGAACATTGCTGTGCGTGTAAGGTCAAGACCATCTAGATATCCAAACAAATCTGTTTAAGAGGCAGCAATGCATAATAAGCGCCGCACACCCATGCATGCAACATGATCCAGTTCCCCTGAAATCAACTTGTGACAAAAGTTGTATCCCCAGCGGGTGGTCTCGTTCGAAACACCTCAACGTCATGCACGCTACACAAAAACGACATGAGCGGGCGGGACATCGACTGCGTGTATAGTGGAAAATATCTCGCCCGTCTGACCTCGGACATCACATATGGGTCATCTGGATTCTGGGAAGGAGGGAAGAAGTTTGCATGGGTGTATCAGGGTGTGTGTAAATGATTATAGGGCAGAAAAATTTGAATCTCAACTTATTCCTGCTGTGCTAATGAGGTGCACAAAAGCGGGAGTTGAGTTTCCTGTTCATGAGTAGGGAACGTACCTTGCTGATCTCGAGTGAATCGCGAAGTCTCTGCTACCCAACCCAATGCCGATCACCCAGAACAAAATACTATGAATGCTACGCATCCAGTTCATAGTCAAGCATGATACAGTATCATAGACAGCCGGGGCACTAGTCAGATCCACGTCAGGGAAGACTGGACGAACGAGGGTAGCAGTGAGGATAGGACCTTGTAAGTTGTCATTGATGGGTGGAGATGAGTAGAAGGCGCTCGCGTCATGCACATCACTAGCACTGGTGAGGTGGACTGTGTGTCCCATATTTTCCAGCTACACACAGCCCACCTAACCAGCGCCAGAACAACAGGAATGCAACCGTATGAACACAATGTATGTGAACATACATTTAGAATGTGACGTCGTAGGCACTTATGCGACAGATCAGTATTAGCACAACTCAGAAAATTGCTCGGCGGACGAGCGGGACTTGAGCATGCAAAGGGAGAGAAGGAGACCATGGACAAAGAACGCACTGACGATGCTCACAATGGTCGTAAAATAGTATTATCTGAACTTGGACGTGATGGTGGGTTATAGGGTACCTAGGACAGAGGAGGGAAAAAGTTTGCATTGGTGTGCTCATATGTATCTCCGACACTGGTGAGTTGAGATTAGGTTGTTGGCGATAAAACTATCTGCAGCCTTATCTCATTTCACCAGCGTTAGGATGACAGGGATGCGCGACCACCTGGATACAATTAAATTGAACATGCATTTAAAATATGATGTGGTACGTACTTTTTGGCGACAAATCGGCATCGGCCGCAGTAGAAAATATTTGGCGTTACGAGAGGGACTTGAGCATGCAAATGGAGAGGCCATCGAAGAAAAATGCCCTGCCAGCGTTCATTCAGCATGCTCGCAAAGTTATCATCTGAACTTGCATGCAATGATGGGTTTATAGCCCAAGTTGGCGACGAGAGGAGGAAGGAAGTTTGTACTGGTGTGTTTGCCAGTCCAGCGCAGCGAATCACATGTTGTATTGAAAAACACCCCGATGCAAACGAGGCGATTGTCCTGCAGGAAGCAATCTCAAGTCAATAGGTGTTACTGGAAAACAAGAACCGATGGGAGCCGCTTTCAACATCCCGAAGGCAAGTAGGAAAAAGGGTCCCAAGGGCCGACACATGAAAGTTTGAAAATTGAACCAGTGACCTGCTAGGTAGGAGATGGTGGGCTGCGCGAGAGCGCTTGTGCGTCACACGTAAAATAATGTATACATCGTAAATGCTGGCAAGTTGGACTGCAGCTTTGTATAACCCCAAGACAACGCAATGGCCCATGCCACCGGCGTCTCGGCGACGGGCGTGCGCGACCACCTAGATACATACCAACATGGAGTGTGTAAGCTTATTTGCAAGCGAAAACAGTGTCGGCAACGGTGAAAAACAAACACATAAGAAGTGACACTTGGCCCGGCACGCACAAGGAGAGGGAGAACAGTGAATCGTCAAGAACGCCCGACATGATGCGTGGGCGAGACATCAACACCATGAGGATCGTCGTCGCATCATGGTTGCGATCTCTCGTTCGTCTGACCTTGAAGGTTATATAGCTCATCTAGATTGAGCGAAGAATGACGCGGACGAAGGACGCAAAACAAAACAAAACAATGTTTGTCGTTGTTTGGTAAACAGGTGGACGCATTGACCTCGAGGAGGTGTACATTGCATTATATCTGTACATCAAGCCGACCATCAGAAAGTTATACGATAGTCTTCGACCTCTTCGCTCGCAAGCCCGATCCTTCATCTCCCTCCATTTTCCACGCAACACCCCCTTCTTCTTCTCCACCGCCCAGTCGCTTCTTCCACCATAGATGCATATGGTGATTCTGAATCCGAGTCTCATGCACCCCTACCCCCGTGTGATGCAGACATTGTCTCGCGTCCTGCTCGAGAACGCATAAACGTGCGCATTAAGAACTGCAGATGAATATACAAATCACGTACATGGAACGCAGCAAGAGGAGAGCGGAATATCTCGCGCACCAGGGCGATTGTAAGAGGTGGCTCTGTGCGTTTGCTGCGTAAGCGGGGAACGAGGAAGGCGAAGGCGAAGAAGAGTTGAAACGACCCTGTTTGAATATCATTCCGGTGTGTTCCTCAGATGGCACTTGTTCAATGCGATTACGATTACGACTACAGGTGCATATCGTGCATATCAACAACACTCTTTGTACTCGGGTATTCTACCATTCCTCACTCTATTTTCCACCACCATAACTCCATTCCGTGCGCCGTCACGCCTCCTTTGATATTTCAAACACAGATGTCCTGCCACATCCCCCGCGATGACAACACACTCGTTGATCCTACGGTATACGTGAGGCCGTGGGGTTACTGCGGGGGAAGAATCAAAGAGAGAGGGTATATCTGACGGTGATCTTTTGTCTCGTGCTTTAGATTTCGAACCTATTTTCAGGTACAGACAGATATAAAACGCACGCACTTGCGCGCAGCTTCGTCCATCCACGATGACAAGTGGTGTCCACCGCGAGCGCTCGCGAGCTGTGCCGCCGTATTGTGTAAACCATATACAATGCAGCAACTCAACTCGTTAGCGTCGGAACGACAGGCATACGCGACCACTCGGATGTGTCATTCTGAAGCGATAGCTTTCAAACATGGGCGTGTACGTATTGACGAAAAACAGCGGAGTAGGACCACTCACAGGAATACGACGTGGCACCAAGGCGTGCAAAGGGAAAGAAGGAGAACTACTGCACGCTCAACAAGTTATGAAGTTTGTATTATGGGCTTACCGATGTTCTCCATTACAGTTACAGAAACTACCCCACGCCACCACTCAGACGAAACAACGGTCAAAACATGGCAATAACACATGAGGAAAAGTGTGCTACACTACGAGGTGAACTGTTCCAACCGCCCCCGAATCTAGACTTAGCTGCACCAGATTTAGAACAGGACCTCCCGGATGACATCCCATGGGAACCCATAACATATGCCGAAGTGAAGAATGGTATATACCGACCAAATCGCAAAAAAGCTCCTGGACCCAGCCAAATCAACTACATGGCTCTCCGATGGGCCTGGGAGGTTGCATCGGAATATATCTACTTACTAATCTCACGCTGCGCAAATGTAGGCTACCATCCCATCGCCTGGCGACGCACAATCGCAGTAGCCCTGCGCAAGCCCCGAAAACCAGACTATTCGAACCCGAGAGCCTATAGACTAATCCAGCTAGAGGAATGTCTTGGAAAAGTCCTCGAAAGCGTACAGGCAAGTAGATTAGCATATCTCACAGCAAAATATCTGCTGGTACCTTCTTCACAGTTCGGAGGTCGCCCAGGAAGCTCCACAGTCGACGCAGCCCTATCATTCGTTCATGATATCGAAGCAGCCCGTAATCACGGACTTGTCACGTCGTGCATCACATTCGACATCAAAGGATACTTCGACTTCGTCAATCATACACGGCTACTCCGAATACTTCGGGACAAGCACCTACCGCTCCCTATGGTAAAGTGGGTGAAATCCTTCCTCAGCGAACGACAAGCAGCAATCTGCCTGGACGGAGTACTGTCACCATCGGAACCAGTCGAAAACGGTATACCTCAAGGATCCCCAATATCACCGGCCCTTTCGATTATCTGCACAAGCCCACTAAACGAAGCCTACAATGCGAAAACTCGAGCTCGTGAACTACGCCCGGACAAAGCCACACCGACCACATTAGCATGCTACATCGATGATGGAAACTTATATGTCTCCTCTCCATCCTTGGAGAACAATGTCGCAATACTCCGGGAGGAGTTCATTTTTGTGAACAATTGGCTTCGCGAAGCTGGACTGATGGCGGAAATTGACAAATCTGAGCTCATCCATTTCACATGGCGTCGTGCACCGGATCGACCACCTATCCTGCTGCCTAGTGACGAAGGACAGGTGACAATTAACCCCCGTGACTGTATCAAATGGCTTGGTATATATTTCGACTCTAAACTCTCTTTTCGCAGGAATGTATGTGAACTGGCAGGCAAAGCGGAAAATATCGCCCAAGGACTACAAATGCTTGCAAATACGGTAAGAGGTCTCTCGCAATCACTATTGAGAACTGTATACTCGGCTTGTGTCCGCAGTGTAATGACATACGCAAGCCCCGTTTGGTGGACGGGCGTGAAAACCCATGCAAACATGCTTACCCGCGTCCAAAACAAATCCCTTAGACATATCTGTGCCGCTTTCCGAACCACCCCAATAAAGGCCCTAGAAATAGAGACATCAATCCCCCCCATCAACCTCTTCCTCGAACACGCAAACGATAACGCCGCCACTCGACTACTCAAACTCCCCTCGTTCAACCCAATCCTACAGAGACTTGATCAACCCTGGCGACAATTTAACCTCGCTGACCCCCCACCCGCTCTTCCCACCGACAAATACCGTCCTCGCAGCCGCAAACCACCAAAATCGACCAGACTCACCCGTCTGTCAAAACGAGCATCCCCGAACGCGGAACGCATCAACATATTTGCACTGCCACCTTGGGCAAACACGAAGGAAACGTACCGCGGCCGC